AAGTAATAAGAAATACATAAATTGTGAAATTAAATTTCCATCGTTTTAGGAATTTTCAATTGTAAACCAATATTGAGAACTTGGCAATGCATGTTTGGATGGGAGGCATATAATAATGTTATAGACTACTTTTTATACACATAAATGAATACTTTAATTTTTAGAATCGACATATTAAAAGAAAGTGAAATACAAAAATACTATTGATATCAAATTCAATCCTTTGATTTAAGGAGAAAAGGATGGAATGTTTCACCTAGTTAAATATGTCAGAGTGAAGCAAATCCTTTATTAATTAGAATTTATAAAATTACACGCAGGCTGAAGTTATTTCTTGATAAAGTATTTCAGATATTAGGAGATATCTTCTGTTGTAGATACTTTCCAAGTTGAGTATGTTTTGTTATTCTTAACTTTATTTTTAAGATACAGAGTCTTGCTGTATCATCGAGGTTGGCCTTCAACTCCTGTGTTCAATTAATCCCCTGCCTTGGCCTCCAAGTTACTGGGGCTCTAGGCACATTATCAGAAACCCAGGTTAAATGCATTTATTGTTTAAAAAATGATTTTGGTATCCTGAATTACATTTCAGTTTAATTAGTCAAATTAAAATACACAAAATGTCCGGAGATGAATAAATAGGTTACTAAATAAAATGGAGACTAGTTTTTGCCATAATACAAAATCAAACAAACATTATGTAAAATAAGTTTCCATCAATTGGGGTTTTAAATGGTCCTAAAAATGTGTCCACTGTATTTATAATGCTCTTCTCAGGCCAGAGCCGGATGGGCCTCTTCTCTGATTCCTGTCCTGTCCACAGAGGGCTCTAGGTCAACCTTAGTCTAGCCTGTTCTTGCCAGGCACCTGTCTTCCTGGGCCAAGATCTGTTTCCCCAGGCACACAGCAGACCATAGAGTGGTTTGCAGACCATGATGTCATAGCACAGAAACTGAAAGGAAGCCTTTCACAACTGTATGCAATATGAGAATATAATTTGATATGTGGTGAAATTCATAATAGAAAACCAAATGATACCATCTTTATATTTTATGGCATTTTTCTAGGGATTTATTTTTCTTTCAGTAGAAAAGTATCACTTCAAAAGAGATTGGAACAAAATACAAATTTATATATCTGTTTCTTCAAGAAGTGCTGTTGTGGAACACACAGACACCTGAGATTTTGGAATTCTCTGCTCTCCTCACATACATAGACCTCTTTTCAGAACATGTGTGCACCTCAGGCCCACTGTGTGACTTTTGGATGTGGGTGCAGGTGTTGCAACTGTGTGGGGCCGAGGAGTCCTTGTGCCTTTGGAGGTCATGCTGAGGCCAGCAGTGAGCACAGCTAGCTTCAGACTGAAGGCTTGACTGGCCAGTGTCACTTTATCCCAGCTAACAAGGTTAGTGCAACAATGGTTTGTTGAGGTAGGAGGGCAAGACATACAGTATTTGACTGATTTTTATCTCAACATATCATTTTAATAGTTTTTACATTCAACAAGGTCAGTTTTAATTTGAATTCTTGCTTGGGGCCATGCAGTACCATAGGTTTGCCTATAGTTGAAAACTTTTTTTTTTTTGTCTTTTTCAATTTTATCGGTACCAGGGATCGAACTCACGACCGCCTGCTTGCAAGGCAGATGCTTATGCCGCTGAGCTAAATCCCCAGCCCCTATAGTTGAAAACTTTTAGCTTATTAAGAAATGTACTTCAGGTCCACTCAAATTTAGAACAGCTTATTTGTTGGACACAAATTCAATAAGTTATCACAAAGTTCAAAAGAATTTTTCATCTAATTCAAAGTGCTTAAAAAGTGTAGTCAACCAGCTTCAATTTGAACAGTGGGCACTTGGGAAGGTCATCCTTACTCGAGGAAAAGAAAGTTATACAGTGCTTTCAGAGGAGGGTAACTGCTTCTGATGGTGAAATTCAGCAAAGTTCTGAGAACAAGAGAAACATATTCCCTGGTTGTAGAGGAATGCATAATAAAACAAACTTTTCATAATAAATACAACTCCACAGCGAGAAAGAGAGAGAGAGACAGAGACAGAGACAGAGAAAGAGAGACAGGGAGGGAGAGAGAGAGAGAGAGAGAGAGAGAGAGAGAGAGAGAGACAGACAGACAGACAGACAGAGAGAGAGAGAGAGAGAGAGATGAAGTACAGGGGTGCATAAACTAATGACACTATGATAACAATAAAGTGAAAATAGGGAAAATATAACGCCACTTTATTTCATTCCTATAACATCAGCAGAAGAAAAAGCTATCTTCATAAGGTATGCTTTATCTTCACTTGGGATAGAAGGGTACTTTCTATTATCATACTGGTCTGACTCTGGCTAGTTAAGCTTGGCTTTACTTTCTTTAAAAAATGAGGTGCACTTGGTTATCCCATGCTTTTGGTTTCCTCTGCTACTTGATCTCATTAGCTCAGGACAAGACTTACAATTCACCTCACTTACATCTTAATGTAAATGGAAACAGGAGGATCATCATTAATTGGTACGAAGCCATTAATGCAAAATTTAGTCAATTTTGGGGAGCAATCAAGCTCAAGGGAGAATGAGTCCAGATTTCCATAAGCATATATGATAGAAGCAAGTAAAAGATTGCTTCATGTTTTCAAAGAAATTCTTTCCAGGAAGAAAGTGCTTACTTTTTAGATAATTAATGGTCATATTTAAATATATGCAGCTGTTCCTCTCACTATTTAAAGGTATATTGCTAAGATAATTGCCTTGCATGTTTTGAATTTCACAAAAACATTATATTTATGTTTTCATAAAAAGGTTTGTATCTAAATACAATCCTCTGAATATGAGAGTGCTGGTTTTACTCACAGTCTTTTTATTATTTAAATATAATAGGTTTTTCTTCCTTTTTTTCCCTCCCAGCTCTTTCTTACTCTCAGTAAGGGACCAATTTGGATCTACAGCATGACGTATCTCAAAGGTGTTATTTGTGGAATGAAGCTATAATTTTTAATTCTTCACTGAACATGTGCTATTTATTGCAAAAATATGATAGTGTACAGACATAGGTACTTGATATTATTTTCAAAAATAAGTTTTTTTATCTTATTAGTACAAAGATTTGTCTTGCAAAAAGAATACAAAATAATATATCAGAAGTCACTGTTGACTTCAAAACTTGAAATGGAATAAAATATGTATGAAGATATAGATACAAATTCCCTATAACAAATGTGGTCATTATGCATACCAAAATTGTACCAATGGACTTAAATAAAAAAAAAAACAAAAAAGATTAAGCTAACTAAGTTTTGTGCTATACTAGGTGCCACATGCTTAAACTATGGTAGACCCACATGGAAATTGCAAATGGCCCTAGACGATCAAGTGCAAAGTCATAGGAACTAGTAGCTATGAAAATACTATCCCCTCTCTAAAGAGTGCAGAAGGTGGTTCAAGTAATTTTTGCCCCCTGAATATCCAGGCATACCATCACCCATCAGTCTAAAGCAATCACATATTCCAATTTTATATCATTTTCAGTTCTCTAAAATCCTGTACTTGACAGACCAAAGCAAAACACAGCAAAACACATTTCAAATGATCAGATTACCTTCCACAGCTGCCAATTCCCAGTACACTCCTACTCAGTATAATGAAATCTAAGCTATATGATGTAAAGTTAAGGAAGTATGGGAGGAATTATAAATTATTTATTGCCAAATCATCCCAATTTAGTAAAAAAAAAGCTCAAGATGTTGATAAGATGCTGATGATTATTGGAAAGAGAATGATTAAAGTCATCAAAAAATGCAGCAACCTATCTGACCATATAGAGTAGGCAAAGTACTGGATCTCTTCTCCCTCACCTCATCACAAAATGGAAATGCCATAGCCAGAAACAGACAACCCTCTGTACTGGTGAATGACAGCCATAATTAGAGGGAGGGAAGGATTTAAAGAGGACGTCAAGGATATCTGAGGACAAGTGAAAAGAGGATTTTGTGTTTACTTCTTGTTTTTTCTTGGAAGCTAAGAACTAGAAGGTAATATACACAGTATAATATACTGTGTATAACCATTAGCTTATCTTTGACTTTTAATTGGAATCTAAACTAACAATAATTAAGGAAATCTTAAAAATTAAAAAAGACACACACACATGTGCACACACATGCACACAAACACACACAGAAAGAAAAGGAGAGCGAAAAAAGACAGAAAATCAGCTTCTGTACTAGTTATATATGAACATCAACATACAGAGATAATCCTTCCATATCCGTGACAAAAATTATATACATGATAATAGGATTATCCCTTTGAATTGCTTATGGTGAGAAGAAAAACATTTTCTAACAGAAAATTTTTTCTAACAGTAATTATAACATCTTGGTGTGCATAAAGGTTCTCTGGTGCATATAATAAAATGCACATTATTTGGCTTAAATTCTAGATATTCTGATTTAATCAGTCTAAGTGTAAAAATCTGCATTTTGTGGCTGGGGATTTAGCTCAGTGGCATAAGTGCCTGCCTTGCAAGTAGGTAGTCCTGAGTTTGATTCCTGGTACCGATTAAAAAAAAAAAAAAAAACACACACACACACAAAAATCTGCATTTTAAAGAGTGCTAAGTAGTTATGATCCATTAATGATGAAAAACAATGTATTTTGAGAAATATTAAGTTACATAAGTGTAATCCTCTCCCAACATGGAGGAAAGGTGCACATTAGTCATAGATTTCTCAGACTCTCAGACCTGAGAAGAAGGATTAAATGCCTGTTACTTACAACTTCCAGGTTTAGTGTATTTGGTTACAGAAGCCGAGGGTTAACAAAATAAAGTGTCTCAAACTTCACTGAAAATAACCTCATAAAGTGATTTTGTGTTAGTCAGTGATAATAACTAAGCTACTATGCTTTTTCTGTTTATGGTAGTTGGAAAAATCAACGTAAAAAATTGAGAATAAAGCGTAATAAATACCAGATGGGCTCAGATAAAATGAGACATTGAGTACTTACTCTTGGAGCACTGTCCTGGGATCTCCAACTTCGCCCCCATCACCAATTGTCAGAGTATCATAGCCAATCTCAAGATCAAATTCTTCAAAATTTATCTGGATGACCTAGTAATAAACCAAAATAAATACCTTGAATATATCATACTATGTAAGAAACACAAAAAATAAAGCAGTAATAGAAAAATATTATAAATGCACATAAGAATATATATATATATATATAACATGAATTTCATATCAGCATGACGTCATATTTCTAAATTTCAAATATTATATCATTAGAGGGTTTTAATTTCTGCATTGAACCTTTCATGTTAAATTTTCAATGAAATGGCATGCTTCTGTTTATAGAATATTCTTATTTGAAGCATGATTAATGCAAATCTACTTTAAAAAGACATTATAAAAAGTACATGTAGGTGGGGAGTCGTTTTCCACACATTTGCATATATTTTTTATAAAGCTAGCATGTAAAAATTGTGTGCTATTTCCATTAAGTAGTAAAAGTTAAAGTTAGAACCAAATTGAATCTAGATCACTAGATATGATGGTATTTGGTTTGTTTTTGTATATTTTTGGTAATAGAATCCTTAAAATATATTAAAATATGTTGGCAAAACTGTGAATACACACTTGGAGAGACATTATGACAGGATATATAATAAAGGATTATATTTTACTGAAAAATGTTTATGTGCTTATACATTATTTATGTACTTATGCAAAAATCTGAATTTAGTTAAATTGCAATTATTCAATTAACTATTTAAAATATTATTAAAACATGGTAATTTAGAATCAGTACAGAAAGAAATTACATACTTTCCAATATACAATCATGCCTTGAGCAAAGAAAAATTTTTAATAATTTATTATTTGTCATATGATAAGAAAAAGACTTTAGATTATCAACATTTACAGAGAATAAAGAATAAAGTCTCTTTAGCCATAGTAAATACCAGTAGTAATAAATATCTGTACATTTATTAAAAATTATGAGAGACTTTATATCCTGGATTTTTTTGAGCCCTCAAACAAAGATAATTGTAGATTACACTTATTTCTTACCTTTAAAATATTTTTATGTTGGCATTAACTATTTGCTTTGGTCAAATACAAATCTAATTGAAAAATGTCAAATTGTGAAGTTTGCATTATCATAACTTTTCAAAAGTGCTCCTTTATGGCTGTTAATTGTAAATACTTTCAATTAATTGTCTTTCTATAGAGATTTAAGTCACTTCCATTTTGCCATTATAAAGCACGTGATTGTAAGCAGTAATATATCTTATGGTTCACATTATTAAATATAACTCTATGTAATATAGTTTTCATTTAATAAAATAAAACATTGTATGACATAGATTTGATTGTTCAAAATTGCTTTACAATTTAAATATTCATAATTTTTTTGTTGTTTTTTTGAGACAGGGTCTCACTATGTAATTCAGGCTGGCCTTAAGCTCACTTTGTAGCCCAGGCTGGTCTTGAACTCCTCCTGCCTCAGCCTCCCGAGTGCTGGGATTAAAGGCGTGAGCCACCATGCTGTTTTAAATGTTCATAATTATATACATGAGATTTTTATTTCAACCGCTCTTGAATTTAAAAATTGAATGTTTCATTTTTCATTTCTAATTGAGCTGTACAGTTTTTTTTAAAACTTATTAACTTGTCATTTATGTTTCTTTTTCTGAGACGTGATTATTTCACTTTTACAAATTTTCTCTTCAGTTGCTAACATTTGTATGCTAGCTACTGCTTGCAAAAAGTTTTACATCAATGACTCAATATATTTCCACTGTGGTGCTCATTAAAAAGAATAATGTTTTTAAGACACAATGAGGTGAATAGTTGTAGTTATTTGTCCTAAACTTTTTTTTTGTTTGTTTCCCAGGATCTGCCTTACTGCACAGAAGCTAAAATGCGTGTTACAGTAGCTTCATTGGTTTTGTAACTTTTTAATTTCCCTTAATATAGACCATTTCATGAAATGAAATAAATTATTGCATCAAAGAAGACCTTACTACTTAATCTTTTTATGGGGCTCAGTCTTGCATTACTCATAGTTGTAAATATATTTTCTTCAATATTTTGCTTTTTTGAGAATTAACTTACACAAATTTTAAAGGATCTTGTAAACACAATCTGTTCAATTCCAATCTCCTGGTACACATGGCCTGTATGATATTCCCTCTCCTTCACTGAAGGCAAGACCTGTGAATACTATACCAATTTCATAATTAAGACCTATAATATAGGAACGTTAAGGGATAGTACAGATCTTCAATCAATTGTTTTTTTTAAATTAATCAATTCTAAAGCTGAAAATAAATGGAATCAATATATGTAGGCTACTTTAGGATTTGTTATTGTTTGAATTCTTGGTGGTAGCCATGCTCTCTGGAGTGAAATGGAGTCTCAGTGTTCTTTTCATTTTGATTTTCCTCATAACCATAGATGTCAAAAATATTTTTTAAAGCATTTACTGATCATTTATACTTATGAGAAGTGTCTATTCATTTCAATTTTTCATTTTTTATTGGGCCCTTTACTTTTAAAGGTCTACTATTTTTGAATTCTTTGTGTATTTTGGTATTTTTCCATTCTGTAGTTCATCTCTTCACAGTATTGATTGTTTCCTTAGTTGTAAAGAAGCTTTTAAATTTCATAAATTTACATTTGTTCACTTTGACTGTAACTTTTAAGATTTTTGTCCTTGCTTCAGTTCATGTGATGTGCTATGACATTCTCTGTTACACTATCCTTGCATTCCAAAGGCATAGCCTACTTGGTCATAAACTATGACTTTTTAATGATTGTTGCACTGTTACCCAGTTTTCTTGAGGATTATTGGTCTAATGTTCATGAAGAGATTGATCTGCAGTTCTCTTCTGTAGTTGACTTCTTGTCCAGTTTTAGAATGAAGGTATTGCTGGATTTCAGGAATCGCTTTGGCAGTATTCTTTCCCTTTTGACTTCTTTAAAAACTTTGAAGAGTATTGTTGTTAGATCACTGACGTTCTTGAGGAATCCTTTGGTGAATCCATAGGCTCTTGTGCTTTTCTTAGTAGGCAGACTCTATTGCTGTCTCAATTTCTTTGCCTATTATTGGACTCTTCAGGGATTTTTTATCTTATGGTTCAGTTCTGGTGATTCCTGTATGTCTTGTTCATTTAGCCTAGTTCCTCAATATATTGAAGCACAAGTTTTCAAAGTTGTTACTAATGATCTTTTGGATTTTGGCAGAGTCTGTTGTGATTTTGCCTTTTTTAATTTCTGATTGCTTTGATGTAGGTCTCTCCTTTTGGTAAGCTTCACTAAAGGTTTGCTTAATTTATTTATTGTCTTTCTGGGCCAGCCAGAATAGCTAATATAAAAATCCCTTTACCTTTGATTCATTGAGTCTTTATATTGTTTCTTTATTCAAAATTTTATTAAAGTTCCCTCTGGTATCTGTAATTTACTTCTACTTATGAGCATTAGATTAAATTATTCTTTTTTTCTAGACATTTGAGGTTCATTACTAGGTTATTTATATTGTCTTAATCTGTTAGTCTTTGTATGATTGAGCAGCTGTTCATCAATCTTGATATTTTTAAGGTTTCTTTGAGAATAAGATCGCATACTTCAGTTGTATCTTTTGGTTCTGATACTTACTTTCTCAGTTTGGCCACTTATGTTGTGCATAGTTTTGACAGAATACTTTGCCTCCTGTATTTCTGTTTGGTACCTTTTATTAGGTACCAATTCTTTGCTAAAATGTCATGCAAATAAATTGGTTAGCTTTGCTAATTGTTTATTTGTATCTTTCACTCACTAATCAATTTCTTTACTAAGTACTTTATCTGTTACTGTATTCAGGGTTTACAAGGAGAACAACACAATACAAGACACATCATTTATAATAGTATTTTATAATGGTCACTCAAAGAATCAAATACAAAAGAAAGAATGCAGGAAATCTGTCCACACACTAAAGACCCAAAGAATCGAGCTGAGGCCTGGATTCTATGGAAATGTCCTGTTTGAGTCCAGCTGAAGGTCTGGAGCCCATAAGAATGTTCTCCATATGCCAAACTGGGGGCCTAGAGCCCACAACAATATCTTATGCAAGTGTTTCATGCATCTGTACTGGGAAGGCCCAAAGGTCAGTGGTAGAAGCTAGAATGTCTATGCCTGCCTGCAAGATGAAGGATCTATGCCAGTAGACTGATGGTTTTGCACTGGATCCAAGAAGCCATGATAAAAAAAAAAAAAAAAAAAAAAAAAAAAAAAAAAAAAAAAGAAAGAAAGAATAGGCTCCCCCAAATATACCACAGACGTCTTCAGTGCCAAAGTGCCCAGTTCCTCTGATGATGGGAACAGCCAAGCCTGACCAGCTCCAATGCTTGTCATGAGAACCAATTGCAACAGTAGAACCAACAATACTGTGGAGAAATAACACTTACTCTCTAGTTCTCCCTTTTATGTTGGCTACAGTCCTCAGGTGGGCCATTCACATCTAACACCGTGTACACTCTGTTAAAGTTGTTACAAATTGACCAACGGTTGTCAATGCACCACACTGGCTTTGTCTGTTCAGTTATATTATTTTTGAGTTTGTTGAGTTTCTGTGTTTCTTCTTTGATCCTTTCATATAATTTATCATTTTGATATTTGATCACCTCTTCACTAATGACCTTGTGCATCTGTTTTGGAGAGTTGTTGAGAGTTGGGAGTTTGGGAATTTTGAGAGGTTTTTTGTTTGTTTATTTTGTACTTAGAATTGAACTGAAGACCTTGTGTTTGCAAGGCAGGGGCTCTCTCTCTGTGTCTCTCTCTCTCTCTCTGAATCTCTCTCTCTGTCTCTCTTTCTCTCTGGTGTCTGTGGGTGTGTGTTTATGTATTCTCTCTTCTGTCTCTGTGTGTGTGTTTATGTATTCAGTGGATTGAAAATCAATGAATTGAAAACTCCTGTGGCTCTTATGAAGATTTCTTTATTCTCTTTTCTAGTGGTGTGATGTTAGCTCTCTTTGCTGTTGGTATTACCTACCTGCTAAACCTATCTATTTTAATAGGAATGCATTCCATTACTGTGTTGCAAGGGAAGAATTCCTCAAATCATG